GCCCCAAAACTGCCCCAAAAACCCAAGTGGGTGCCCCAAAAACTGCCCCAAAACTGCCCCAGAAACCCGAATGGGTGCCCCAAAAACTGCCCCAGAAACTGCCCCAAAAACTGCCCCTGTGGGGAATGTGGACCCTGAAGTCCAGACCCCAAGACCCCTCCATGGCTCCTGACCCCAGCTCTGGGGCTCCTTCTCCCCATTTTTGGGGTCCCCAGTCCCATTTCCTGACCCACGTCTCCTGTCCCTGACCCCTTGTCCCCTGTCCCTGACCCCATGTCCCCTGTCCCTGACCCACGTCCCCTGTCCCTGACCCCGTGTCCCCTGTCCCTGACCCCGTGTCCCCTGTCCCTGACCCCGTGTCCCCTGTCCCCGCAGTACGGCCGCCTCATTGACCTGTGCCAGCCCACGCAGAAGAAATACCAGATCGCGGTGACCAAGGTGCTGGGCAAGAACATGGACGCCATCATCGTGGACTCGGAGAAGACGGGCCGGGACTGCATCCAGTACATCAAGGAGCAGCGCGGCGAGCCCGAGACCTTCCTGCCCCTGGACTACCTGGAGGTGCGGCCCCGCAGGGTCTGGGGTCCTCAGATGGGCTCTGGGGTCAGCAGGGAGCCTGAAATGGGGTTTGGGGTCAGCAGGGAGCCTGAAATGGGCTCTGGGGTCAGCAAAAACCCTGAAATGGGCTCTGGGGTCAGCACCATTTCGGGGTTTTTAACCCTCAGCGTTTGGGGTTCAGGTGAAGCCCACGGACGAGAGGCTGCAGGGGGAATTTGAGTGCCCATTTTGGGGTTTCTAACCCCCATTTTTGGGGTTTTTAACCCCCGTTTTTGGGGTTTCTAACCCCCGTTTTTGGGGTTCAGGTGAAGCCCACGGACGAGAAGCTGCGGGAGCTGCGGGGGGCCAAGCTGGTGATCGACGTGATCCGCTACGAGCCGCCCCACATCAAGAAGGCGCTGCAGTTCGCCTGCGGGAACGCGCTGGTCTGCGACAACGTGGAGGACGCCCGCAGGATCGCCTTCGGCGGCCACCAGAGGCACAAGGTACCCCCAAAACCGCCTGAAATCACCCCAAAAATACCCCAGGAACGGACTGAAAATACCCCAAAACCTCCCCAAAAACTGCCCCAAAACCAGCCTGGAAATACCCCAGAAACACCCCAAAACTGCCCCAAAATACCCCAGAAACACCCCAAAACTGCCCCAAACCCCAATCCATGCATTTCCCCGATGTCCCCAGTGTCCCCTGGATGTCCCCAATGTCCCTGGCTGTCCCCACAGACGGTGGCCCTGGACGGGACGCTGTTCCAGAAGTCCGGGGTGATCTCGGGCGGTGCCAGCGACCTCAAGGCCAAGGCTCGGCGCTGGGACGAGAAAGCTGTGGACAAGCTCAAGGAGAAGAAGGAGCGGCTGACGGAGGAGCTCAAGGTGGGACCCCAAAGCTGGCCCCAAAACCGACCCTAAAACCCAAAACTGACCCTAAAACTGATTCTGGAACCCAAAACTGCCCCTAAAACCCAAAACTGACCCTAAAGCTGACCCCAAAACTGCCCCTAAAACCCAAAGCTGACCCCAAAACTGACCCCAAAGCCCCAGGCAGACCCAAAAACCTCTCCCTGGGGGTTTCCCCTTCCCCATTCCCCTTCCCTGTTTTTCCCTCAGTTCTGGCTTTTTCCCCGAGTCCCCGTTTTTCCCCAATTCCCGTTTTTCCCGGTTTTCCTCAATTCCCATTTTCCCCAATTCCCATTTTTCCCCAATTCCCATTTTTCCCGTTTTCCCCAATTCCCGATTTCCCCAATTCCCGTTTTTTCTCCTGCCCCGTGCAGGAGCAGATGAAGGCCAAGCGCAAGGAGGCCGAGCTGCGGCAGGTGCAGTCCCAGGCCCACGGGCTCCAAATGCGCCTCAAATATTCCCAAAGCGACCTGGAGCAGACCAAGACGCGGCACCTGGCCCTCAACCTGCAGGTGAGGCAAAATCCGGGCATTTGGGGGAAAACTTCCTGGGTTTGGGAAAAATCCCGGCATTTTGGGACAAACGTCCCCGCTGTGGGGAGGAATTTCCCCGTCAAACGTTCCCAAAGGGAGCTGGAGCAACCCGAGCCCCGGCGCTCAGCCTGAGCGTGGGATTGGGGAAAAAAGATCTGGATTTGGGGAGAAATTCCCTGATTTGGGGGGAAATCCTGGATTTGGGGAGAAATTCCCGATTTGGGGAAAAAAATCCCGGGCTTGAGGAGAATTCCACGGTTTTAGGGAAAAATCCCGTGGTTTTGGACAAAAATTGAGGGTTCAGAGAGGGGATCTGGGGGCTCAGGGATGAGATTTTGGGGTTCAGGGAAGGATTTTTGGGTTCAGAGGTGAATTTTTGGGGTTCACCGAAGGATTTTGATCCCGTTTTTCCCGTTTTCCCAGGAAAAATCCAAACTGGAGAGCGAATTGGCCAATTTTGGGCCGCGGATCAACGACATCAAACGCATCATCCAGGGCCGGGAGCGGGAGATGAAGGACCTGAAGGAGAAAATGAACCAGGTTTGGGGGGAATTTGGGGGATTTTGGGAAAAACCCCTGGGCTTTGGAGGAAAATCCTCAGTTTGGGGGGGGGGAAAATCCCTGGTTTTCAGGAGAACTTCCTCCAGTTTTGGAGAGAAATTCCCCCAGTTTTTGGGAGAATTCCCTGATTTGGGGGGAAGTGAAGATGAGCTGGGTTTGGGAGGATTTTGAGGGGGATTTGGGGGATTTTTGGGGTCCCCCAGATTTGGGGGGGCCCTGACTTTGCCCCCCCCAGGTGGAGGACGAGGTTTTTGAGGAGTTCTGCCGGGAAATCGGGGTCAGGAACATTCGGGAGTTCGAGGAGGAGAAGGTGAAGCGGCAGAACGAGATCGCCAAGAAAAGGTCAGGACACCCCAAAACCGGGGGGGAATCCCTGAAACCCCCCGGGGGACCCCAAAACACCTTCAGGGCCTCCCCAAACCCTTCATGGACTCCCCAAAAAACCTCTCAGGACCTCCCCAGGGACCCCAAAACCCATCTCAGAGCTCCCCAAAACCCCTCAAGGAGCCCCCAAACCCCTCACAGACCTCGGGGAACCTCCCAAAATCCCCTCGGGGTCCCCCAAAACCCTCGGGGGGATCCCCCCAGCACCCCCGGGAGCCCCTCGGGGACCCCCCTGAGCTTTGGGGTGCCCCAGGCTGGAGTTTGAGAACCAGAAGACGCGGCTGGGGATCCAGCTGGACTTCGAGCGCAACCAGCTCCGCGAGGACCAGGAGAAGGTGCTGATGTGGGAGCAGGGCGTGCGCAAGGACGAGGCCGAGATCGAGAAGCTCAAGAAGGTTTGGGGCTTTGGAGGTTTCGGGGGTTTTTTGGGGAGGTTTTGGGGTTTTTTTCTGAGTTTTTGGGTGTTTTTTAGGGCTGTTTTCTGGGGTGATTTAGGGTGGTTTTGGGGCTGTTTTCTGGGGTGATTTAGGGTGGATTTGGGCTGGTTTTTTTGGGGTGATTTAGGGTGGTTTTGGGGCTGTTTTCTGGGGTGATTTGGGGTTTTTTTGTGGCTGTTTCCTGGGGTGATTTAGGGAGTTTTTGGTCTGTTTTTTGGGGTGGTTTAGGGTGTTTTTGGGGCTGTTCTGGGTTGATTTCGGTGGGTTTTGCCCCCCAGGAGGAGCAGCGGCACATGAAGATCATCGACGAGACGATGGCGCAGCTGCAGGACCTCAAGAACCAACACCTGGCCAAGAAGTCGGAGGTGAACGACAAAAACCACGAGATGGACGAGATCCGCAAGAAGCTGGGCGGGGCCAACAAGTGAGGGCGGGGCCAGAGGGGG